TATACCATAGTGGGTGGAGCAGGAAGCCAAGGGACCGACACAGAGTTGCACTACCGTCCAGCAAGTTATAACACTAAGTCCCTCCCCCATCCACCTTTATGCTTTTCTTTACAACAGGGCTTTCAAATAAGTCATGGTTGTACGGCAGTGAAGCATCGGTGTTGAACACTGATGTCATGCTGTCGATGATGAAGATGATGATGATGCACCCACCCAGAGGAAGCATGAGAGCTGGGATACTGTCAGGTTGCCCGAACCTAGACAGGGGAAGCCGAGAGGCTGAGGCCGGGAACCACGGTCGTCTGTCGATGATGAAGATGATGATGATGATGCCACCCAGAGGAAGCATGAGAGCTGGGATACTGTCAGGTTGCCCGAACCTAGACAGGGGAAGCCGAGAGGCTGAGGCCGGGTACGAACCACGGTCGTTCCGTTCGAGCTCTAACCACTGAGCCATCTCACTCCAACTGAGTCAATGCTGCTCTATGAAACTCTCTAATCCGACATCATGTCCGTTAAAGACGTGTCGTCACACCTCGAAAGCATTCAGCCCGTATCACCAGACATGCTGGCTGCTCGAATGGTAAGTGACCGGGTACCGGTGAATCGTCTAACATCTGCAGTTAGAAGGCATCACGACCACGTAGAAGCTTCGAACGCCCTGATGAATTAGGAACTCGACCCTCCAATCGGAAATCGATTTCCATCCGAAGTCGAAAATGCTGGAAATTTTTAAACGCTACCCAATCATTAGTGATCCTTGATGTGATATTTGTAGATGGATCTCGATCTGCAGAAATTTTACTCCCGATGTACTAAAAACGGTCAACAACTTCAAGTGCCTCACCAGCAATGGGTAGCATATCGGCGAATTCACACCATTTTTTTCACTAATGAGATAAGCATGTCACAATTGTCTACTTCCTGTACAAGGCGGTCAAGGGTGTTCTGTAGCAATGGGGTCTCATCCATCGGAAAAAACACCAGCACCGTCATCATTTCCATCATTGCCATCATCGACAGCACGATATCGGTGTTCAACACCGATGCTTCACTGCTTCACCCAGATTTCCGGTATTCTCTGCCGGCTCAGTGTATTTTATTGTCCAAGGCTTTCAGCAACTGATCATGCCGAGAGATACCGGGGTGAAAACTTTTAATGGGAGAAGCAAGGTAGGGGCAGATCAATAGGTTCTGGTAGAGGATATCACAAATGCGTTGTGTCTTTCGAGAGAAAGAACTCGTTCCAGTCCCGGGAGGCCAGCAAGGATGAAAAAGCCGGCAAAACATCCGGAGTCAGGAGGCGAAAGAAAGAAGGGGTTGGAGGGATAGTTTCGCTATAACTGACTGCGTTGCACGAAATGGCGCAATGATCGCTACCTGGAAAGCATGGACCAACTGCGGTTGCAGCCAGATGACCCTCATTTGAAAATATTAGGTCTAAGGTGTGTTGTCCACGAGTGGGGCTGCGTACAATCTGGGACCAAACCTCTACGCTAAGTTAAACAAGCAGCGAGGCGTAACGAGTAGGGCCCAAAGTGGGAGACCAGGTAATATCCGGTAGGTTGAAGTCACCCAGCACGAATTTAAACGAATGTGGAAGGGCATATGCAGTGGAGATAATACGGAACAAGTCAGTTATAGAAGCGGGGGAGGCCTACCTACTAATACAGGTCGTTTGGTCTGTTCTGTGGAGATCCAGATAGCCCCTGGAATCCCTTCTAGGCTGGTATCATCAATGGGAGTTGCACAAAGTTCCGATTTGTAGTAGATGACACAGCCTCTATCTCCAGAGTTCCTCCTGTCAAAGCGGTGGATATTATAACCAGGGATTGAGTCTGCCAGGTCTGAAGCTTCAAATGAGAGCCATGTTTCGGTCACAAATCAGACTTGGTTGCGCAACGGCGATAATCGCACGGAGAGTATGGACTTTTGGCAGCAGTGATCGAGCGTTAAACGGCATCATTGATAGGTCCATTGGTGAGCACACCATACTAATGTGGAATTTAGTAAATTCGCCTACGGTGGAGTTCCGTACTGAGGGGAAAGGGGTGGGGGAGATAAGGGTACATGAAGTAGAGTTGACTAGGCATGTGTTCGGAATATTCACTCCCAGTGTATTCAACACTGGGGGTAGATGGGTGAGTAGTGGCTGAAGTAGGTTTGAATCCACGGCAGACGGTAGAGCATTGGGTACATTATGGGGCAGGGTATATCTCTTGAGGGCTGGTGTGCAGTTGGAAGCGATTGGGTGTTGGGAAGGGTTTTGGAACATGAACTCATTCGCATCGGCAGGTGTGGAGAGTGACATGGTGCGGAAAGTGGCGGTGGTTGTGGGGGGATTGGTCGCATCCGAAAATGGTTTAGTTGGGATGGAAGTGGGAGAGCAAGATGGTGGAAGCATATAAGGGCCTGAGCTGGCCGCCGATACTTGCGGATGTGAGGTTTCACCAAGCTCGGCGCACGTGTGGTGTGACGTATTTGTCACCAATCAGTAAATTAATCCATCCATACCATGGGTCAATGAAAAAGGCCATTCAACCAGCACGACTCCCTTTGTCACTGCTGCACATTAAAGCTGTTGCCGGAAGGCTGTCGTATGTTCTGTTGACGAGTTTTCATCCAGAGCTTAGGCAATGTTGTAGGACAGCAGTGGATATAACAGATAACGCCCGGAGTATGCTGAAACGTTTCCGTCGTCCTTCACAGCGTGACTTTACTTTGCGGAATGAATTTTCGACCAGTATAGCTCACAGAGTCACGGCGACATATGACCGCCAGTACCAAGCTAAGTTGTCAGCAGTCGGAGGATTTGCATTCAGAGGCAGTCTCACACTGTTGAATTGACGTATCATTAGCGATATACACACAGTCGCAAGCAAACTTTCTTTTGCGAGTGGGTGAGTGTAGTACTAATGAGTGCATTGCGCTGATTTCGCGCAATTCTGTTTCAAGTAGCACCATGACTATACGATGACGTAGCGTGAGCTATTGTTAGGAGGAATTCTACATGAATCTCGCTTTACCGCTCGCACTCAGGTGCTGCTACGGCCCAGAAGTCCATCGCACTCAAGATTGGCCAAGAATTCGGGACGCTTGCCGGTCCGGTATCAATCCGAGATCTGATTGGTCGAAAGTCTGGGCCTAACAGTCAAACATGACCCAGTATTGGCCAAAACCCGGTTGCCAATAGCGTATGCAGAACGCGCCAGAATTTCCAGAAAGTTTTAACCGCCTACACTATGCGTAAGAAGCTCTGCACAACTGTTTCTAACTTCGTTTGGGGCATTAATATACCTTGTGCAACTTTGACAGGTGCCTTTGACGTGAACCCTAGATTGAAAGACCTGTAGCGGACTAGGACCTTATCAGCGTGTTCGGATAAAATAACAAGCAAAGCAAACAATACAAAAATCACCAGATCAAAATGGGAAAGAAATGCGTAGTCAAATGAGGACTCACGAATGCGTAAATCCATTAGTCCACTACACCGATCGAATTGCAGTAAGGGGCTCTGAAAGGAAATATTTACTCGTCGAAATTTCCCACTAATGGTTCGCGAATAAGTGATATATTCCAAAACAGGGAAATTATTCACGCCTAGAAAATGTCACAGGGTTTTATTGCGACGTTCAAGCTTTGACACAAACACAGAGATATAGTACTACTGCTTCAGCAGTCAACAAACAGTTCAAGGGAGCGTAAATACATTCGTTCAGCAAGAGGTCAGCAGGTCGCACCGGAAAAATGTGTATCCGCAAAAATAAAAAAACGTGATCATACCACAAGTACGACAGTTAAAAAAAGTAGTTTAAGTTCAGGAAGATTGCTACATCTGACAAAGGATAACGGGCAATACGGGTTCCGACAGAGAATCAAGGGGAAATCATTCGCCAGATCAAGGCGTTCCTATCGGACAGATCATTCCTAGTGAGAATAGGCTCGACCTACTCTTCTCCAGCGCCGGTCTCCATTGGAGTTCCTCAAGGCTCCGTCTTGGGACCACTCCTGATTCTGATCTACGTCAACGACCTCCCAGATGTTCTTGCGAGTCCATGTCTACTTTTTGCGGACGACTTGAAATCCTGGAGTTCCAATGCCAGTGCCCTCAAAATGGATGTAGACGCTGCCAAGCAGTGGTCTTTGGACTGGCACCTTCCTCTGAATGACAAAAAGTGCATCCACATGTCGTTTGGAGGAGACTCAGCGAATGCCTTTGTTATGCATGGTGAGAAAGAACCAGAAAACATCATGAGGACAGATGCCAAAAAGGATTTGGGCATCTGAGTCTCCTCAAACTTGTCCTTCTCACTGCACCATGAGAGATCGGCCCAAAAGGCATTCGCCACTCTACGGATGATCCGACGCACCTTCTCCCGTATCACTCGCATGGACTTCCAAATACTCTATGGGGCCTATGTCAGACCGATCCTGGAATACGCCAACCAAGTTGTCTACTCAGGACGCACGAAAGACCTCCCCCTCATTCAGCGTGTCCAGTGAGCCGCTACGAGGATGGTTGCCGGCCTCAAATCCGTGGACTACGAAACGCTACTCGCGATGCTTGATCTCTTTCCGCTGGAGTACGGTCGCCCTGTTTGCACAAAGCTTGGCAAACAGGTTTTTCACCGTTGACCCAGCAAACACACGGCGGGGACATAGTAAGAAGACTTTCAAGCTCAGAGCACACATATTCATTAGACAAATTTTTTTCTCATTTCGGGTAGTAGCTGCGTTGAATGACCTCCCTCCGACGGTTGTCCACGCTCCTTCTAGAACCCAGTCTAAAGCACTATTGGACATTTATTTATGCGAATCCTCGCGCTGGCAAGCATACTGCCCCGCGCTGAGGACATAAAGAGCAGTGCTACACCCTTTTTTCACTTGTGCTTTTCAGGTGAACGACAGCCACAGACCGACAAAAACAAAAGCGACCCGGGAAACTTGGGCAAAAGCCTCGATGCTGTGTATCAATCCGTGAATCCGTGAACTAAGCTGACATGAAGACCTTTACTTCAATTGGCGAGTGGGAACAGTTCAAGGAGATTGTGAAAAACTTTACATACCTCGGTAGTTGTATTAGCTCTGACGGAAGTGTGTCTGGTGAAGTCAGTGCAAGAATCTCAAAGGCTCGAATCACGTTTTCTAATTTGCGTCACTTGTGGCGTCAACAAGGCATCTCACTGGATCTTAAGGGCCGTGTGCACCAGGCTACAGTAAGGGCTGTGTTGTTGTATGGGTGCGACACATGGCCTCTTCGGGTAGATGATGTGAGGCGTCTTCAGGTT